AGAGGAAAAGGATCGAAGACAAACTGAGGTGATTCTTGGAGATTTCTTCCAGCGATGGCAGTAATTCTGAACATGCACTGGATGTAAACAAACGTGATTTCTAGAGTAAAGAGGCGGGAGGAGATGTTTCTACTGAAAAAGGACGGTCGCTGTATTTCACTTCCCTTAAAAAATCCTCTATACAACCTTTAAGATATTTGTGTCCAAACCCGACACAGTTAAAATCGCACAATTTTCATAGACGTAATGGCACAGGTAGGATATTGTTTGTGTGGCGTCTAACGGACACAGAGATGCAAAAACTCGGAATATAGTGAAAATAAAGAGAAGACTTTATTGCTCATGTAATAAAGTAAAGTAAAGTGGTAAATTTTAAGTGTCCGCAAATAATGACATCCAGTCCACAAAATAAAACAGCGCTATTAATCCAGTTTGAAGCACTAAAAGTAAAAAGGCAAGTAGTTCCAAGTGTGTTTGTTTACACCCACACAGCGCACGGATCGAGGGGAAGCTGCAGATTCATGACAGTGACTCGACTTCCTCTGGACTTTATCTCCAATCTTTATGCTTTAAATCAGTTGGTCTGTGTGTTGGCATGTTTTAATTTTATTTTTTTTATGATATGAATTAATCAAATAAAATGTATTTTTCTGATTTAGAGATTTTTTATTTATTTTTTTTATAAAAATGTGTTAATGATAATGTTTAAGGAGCATGTTTTAATAAAAGCTGAGAGTCTTACCTTTTAAATGCAATTTATTCTATGTTTTTATCTGCTTCACAGGCTGAGATATTAAGGTTTTTATAGCCGTTGACAATTCTTCAAAAACCCTCAGGAGATAAGGACCTTTACCCGAGAATACCACAGGTTTTTATAGGTGTTTTTTGCAGGCGTTTTAGGTGTAAATGGGTTAAAAATCATGTATCTGAAATTAAATACTGTATTTTCTGTACTATTAGGCGCTCTGGATTATAAGACGCACTGTCATTAAATGGTCTGTTTTCGAACTTTTTTCCACAAATAAACCGCACCGGACTTTAAACGAAACACAACAGTTGGATGGGTCAGTGGGACTTTGTTTGTGGCGTTCACGGTGACTCTGGGCTTTGTTCAGTTGTGGCGTGTAGGGAGGGTGCTGCTCCGTGTGTGTTTGTGGCTTTGTAGTTTACTGAAGTCGTACTGGGACACTCGAGTGGATTCGTGTATGAGGCGCTCTGGATTGCGGGGCTGATGGGGTTGGAGGTTTAAGAGCGCGTCTAATAGCCCGGAAAATACGGTAATATTAACACAGTTTTGACTTGTATCTCAACTAGAAGTGCAGTACTTTAATCTTTTGAACACTTGAGAGTCTCAGAGCGAGTGGTTTTACTGTAGACTGGAAACAGCAGACGCGCTGATGTGTCCAAGTCCGACCTAAGCCCAAACATAAATTCTAAGTATTTGTCCGAACCTGTCGGGTTTCGATGGGTCCCATTGGGTTTCCATGCTCTAAAAGCAACAATGTCTCAGTGAAGAAAAGGATTTGACAGACTCTCGACCAGAAACGTTACACAATGCACCTTTAAGTCATATTATAATGTTGTTTCCCCATCAAAAACAGACCTGGAGTCGTGTTTTGTTTCATTCACACATTTTTTATTAGTCTGTCTACATTTCCAAAGCTTGAAAATGCTCTGTTCCACCTCGAGATATCATGAAGTTGTAGTTTTTTTCTAGTTAATAGCTGCCTTTTTACCTTTTGTTGATGACTGGACTGAAATTATCCAAATGATCAGTTTTGGGAAGGTTACTTTTAAACTGTATTCCCCTACAGATTACAGATTACATACACCAAAATGTAGTTTGTAACGTAATCCATTAAATTACTTAAGGTGAGTAACGTAATCTGAATACTTTGGATTACTTGATTTGCTGTAGAGAAGCAAAGACCAGGAAATCGTAACATTAGAAGTTTTGTCTGTTAAAAGAAAATAAAAAAGCCCAGACTTTACTGAACCAAATTAAAAATATTATTGATAGAAGAGGAGGAGACACGGTCTGCGCAGCCTGGTTCAGTCCTGTTCAATCCTGGTTTAGACCTGGTTTAGACCTGGTTTAGTCCTGGTTTAGAACTGGTTTAGTCCTGGTTTTAGTCCTGGTTTAATCCTGTTTTAGTCCTGGTTTAGACCTGTTAAATCCTGTTTTAGTCCTGTTTTAGACCTAGTTTTAATCCTGGTTTAGTCCTAGTTTAGACCTGGTTTAGACCTGGTTTCTGGTTTTTTAGTCCTGTTTTAGTCCTGGTTTAGTCCTGGTTTTAGTCCTGTTAAACTGTTTAGTCCTCTTTTAGTCCTGGTTTTTAGTCCTGGTTTTTTAGTCCTGGTTTAGTCCTTTTAAAGTCCTGTTTTAGTCCTGTTTTAGTCCTGGTTTAGTCCTGTTTAGTCCTGGTTTAGTCCTGTTTAAGTCCTGGTTTAGTCCTTTTTAGTCCTGGTTTAGTCCTGTTTTAGTCCTGTTTAGTCCTTTAAATCCTGTTTTAGTCTCTTTTTAGTCCTGGTTTAGTCCTGGTTTAGTCCTGGTTTAATCCTGGTTAAATCCTGTTTTAGTCCTCCTTTTAGTCCTGGTTTAGTCCTGGTTTAGTTTAGTCCTGTTTAGTCCTGTTTAGTCCTGGTTTAGTCCTGTTTAGTCCTGTTTAGTCCTGTTTAGTCCTGGTTTATCCTGTTCTAGTCCTGTTTATTCCTGGTTTAGACCTGGTTTAGTGTCCAGCAATGAGTGGAATTACCGGAAAAAAACAAACCTGCCTGAAACAAGCCTGAAAACAGGAAAAGACCTCTGTGTAATCCATTTATTTCAACAAAGTAACTGTAATCTAATTACCACTCACTGAAACAGTCACTGTAACCGAATACAGTTACTCATAAATTGTACTCTGATTACGTAACTCCGGCACATGTAATCTGTTACTCCTCAACACTGCGAACGATTCTAGTGAAAGTGTACATTTGCGATGAGGAAACGTGATAACAAAGATGAGAAAATATGGTAATTTGAGCTCTTGAACTGGGAGAAACAGATCCTGAGATGTGTGCAGGACGTTTCAGTGATTGTTGCTTATACTTTGGCAGCTCCAGACCGAACGGATCCAAAGCAGGAGAAAAGCCAGCCCCACCACACAGTATGGGAGCTGTTATCTTAATAAGCACAAGAACCTGCGAAACAAAAGGTCATAAAACGCATTTGAAACTTTAAAATATGCGAATAAACCACAAATGGTGACGCTGTCCTCATTTTCACCGGCTAAAAATGCGGGTTGTTATTTGTGAGGGAATGTGGAAATGGGGACTGTGAATGTTAAAGACGCGTCGGGTAACCTTTCCGGTGGAGGGTACGTCAAGTATTTCGGCGTTATGTCTTGGTCTGGAATGTTTCACAGTGTGGTGTTAAAGTCTTTTAGCGTCGTGGAGACCAGACCGGGCCAATTACAGGTCAGATCTGTGGAGAGGCGACCCCGCTCACAGTCAGAATGTCTGTACTGTCGCCAAAATGACTGAACTTTTACAACGGATATGGACTGAACCCAGGACTGGACCAGGACTGAACCAAGGACTGAACCAGGAGGACTGAATCAGGACTGGATCAAGGACTGGACCAGGACTGAACCAAGGTCTAAACCAGGAGGACTGAATCGATCAAGGACTGGACCAGGACTGGACCAAGGACTGAACCAAGGACTAAACCAGGAGGACTGAATCAGGACTGGACCAGAGGACTGAACCAAGGACTATACCAGGAGGACTGAATCAGGACTGGATCAAGGACTGGACCAGGACTGAACCAAGGACTAAACCAGGAGGACTGAATCAGGACTGGACCAGGACTGAACCGAGGACTGAACCAGGAGGACTGAATCAGGACTGGACCAAGGACTGGACCAGGACTGAACCAAGGACTATACCAGGAGGACTGGACCAAGGACCAAACCTGGACTGAACCAAGGTCTAAACCAGGAGGACTGAATCAGGACTGGACCAAGGACTGGACCGAGGACTGGACCAAGGACTAAACCAGAAGGACTGAATCAGGACTGGACCGAGGACTGGACCAGGACTGAACCAGGTCTCAGCCACGACTAAATCAGGACTGAACCAAGACTGAACCAGGACTGAACCAGGACTAAACCAGGTCTAAACGAGGTCTAAACCAAGACTAAACCACGATTTAACCAAGATTGAATTTACCCAGAGCTGAACCAGGCCTAAACCAGGTCTAAAACAGGTCTAAAACAGGACTGAACCAGAACTTACCCAGAGCCGAACCAGGACAAAACCAGGACTAAACCAGGAATAAACCAGGAATAAACCAGGACTAATCTTAATCTAGGATTTATAATCTAGGACCGCCCCTGAGAGAACCCCGAGCCCGTGGAGCAGAGTGTCCACAAAGCAGGATCGGGCGTCGGCTGCGATTTGCCCCGTGAAGCGTGGAGTTCTGCAACGATCCTTTCGCCCGCGGTCACCCGACGGTCTACGCGGGCGCGTCTCCGGGCCCATCGTGACTTTCAGAACCGTAACAATGGTGTTTAACCTCTGCTGATATCGCGGTGATTTTAGCGAATTTATATGAAGAAAAACGAAAAACCCACCACTTCAATCTAGTTTAAAAATTCAATGTGACGCGCGTTACTCACATTTGTAAGTAAATAAAAACAAGTAAATATGATTGTTTTTTCCCTGTAATGCTGAACATTACTGTATTACAGCAAAAAAACAACACATTACAGTAATTTCTTTATAACTTTTACAACTCCCAACACTGGCAGTAAATCAAGCAGTCTCCCCTCCAGTTCCTGCTTTTCTTCTAACATCAGAGGAGACCAGGAATTCTTAAGATGTGAAGAGGTGTATGGACCTTAAAAACACAGAGGAACATCACAAACAAAACAAAACTAACCCGATTTTTAGATTATAACACGACTGAAAGAAAGCACTGGGCCCTCTAATGACATGATGTTTGTTTTTTTTAATAGGCACCAATGCACAGGTGACGTACGGGGGCATTTCGGAGGACTTCTTCAAGATCGATCCACTCACCGGAGTCATCAGCACCACCAAGAGTCTGGACCGGGAACAGCAGGAGGTCCACACGCTCACAGGTACCACCAGGCGCTTTCTCCATGACAAATATGAGCAAATGTTTCCCCTTTTTTTCCCCCTTTCTTTTGCATTTTATGAAAACTGAAAGCTCCAAAATTTGTCTTTAAAATCTTAAATTCAAAGCCCTTAAAATGTCTAAGAACGACTGAGAACAAACGCTGGTTCAATCCCGTTTTAGTCTGAATCATTGCTCAATTTTCACAGAGTTGCCACCCTTACCGTAGAGATGATCTGACATACTAATTGAAGAGGGATAAAAGTAATGCTGAAACTTGATACTCATTTGTGTCGATACTGAAAAATAAATAAAACAAAACTGAACTTGTCCTGAATAGTTTTATAGTGTTTCTTCTTGATCTGTAGCAGAACTAGTATAAGGTCAGATGACGATACTAAAAATGTTACTAAATCTGTTTGTCATTCGTTCATTTGTTTTTGAAAATAAAACCAAAAATAAGGAAACGAAAAAAACAACTATTTTCTTCATTATTTGTCTCCAAAACCAAAATGAAAAAACAGATAATGATTTGTTTATTCAGTTTTCGATTTTGTGTTTAAATGAATAATGGAAAAAACGGATAACAGCCGTTTCCCGTTTCCGTGACTAAAACTGCGATGCCGGACTGAACCAGGACTAAAACAGGATTAAAACAAAACTAAACCAGAACTAAATCAGGACTAAACCAGGACTGAATCAGGATTGAGTGTCGGGACGGGCCCAGAGGTGCACCCACGTAGATTGTCGGGTGATCAGGACTGAGACCGGGACCAGACCGGGACTGGGACTGAGTCCAGGACTGAGACCAAGACCAGGACTGAGATCAGGACCAGACCGGAACTGAGACTGGGACCAGACCAGAACTGAGACCGGGACTGACACTGGGATGGAGACTGGAACCAGACCAAGGCTGAGACTGAGACCAGGACCAGTCCGGGACTGATACCGGGACGGCGACCAGGACTGAGATCGGTTTAGTCCTGGTTTAGTCTTGGTTTAGTTCTGGTTTAGACCTGGTTTAGACCTGGTTTAGACCTGGTTTAGTCTGTATGCGGGTCAAAAGTCCAGCATCTCAGTTTAAGTCACGGAAACGGGAAACAGGCCTTTATCCATTTTTTCCATTTTTCATTTAAACACAAAAACTGAAAACTGAAAAAAATAAATCATTATCCATTTTGTCATTTTGGTTTTAGAGACAAATAATGAAGGAAATAATTGTTTTTTCGTTTTCTTATTTTTGGTTTTATTTTGAAAAACGAATGAACAAATGATACTCGAATTCTGCTGTTATTTTGAGTTAAAAATGTCATTCTGTCACTGCCTCCCAGGTCCTATATTATGCAAAACTGACTCTTGTGAGCTTTAAGCCATGTTATAAAAGCAGTGCTGGAGTTTTCTCTCCTTCACGCATGTTTGAGTAATCCTTTATTATGAGTCTGTCTAAATCTCCAACACTCAAAATGCTCTCTTCCACCTTGTGAAAATATGAAGTGGTATTTTTTTTTTAAGTTAAGAGCTACTTTTACCTTTTGTTCGGTAGAGATTGGCAATTTCAGGTCTGAAATTATTCAAATGATTCTAGTGGAGGTGTATGGAGTTAAAAATACTCTGAAGCACTTCGTGTATTACCGCATGACATTAAAAGGTGGAACAGCGTGTTTGAGAGAAGAACTCAGTCTAAATGTGCAGGATTTGTGTGTTAAACATGTGCGAATGAAACAAAACACAACTCCAGATCTGTTTGTGATGAAGAAACATTGACTAGACAAAAACGTAATGAGTATCCCCTTTTCCTTGGTACGTCATTTGAGTTTGAAAAGCCTAGGAATGACGTTGACGATTTCTTTTCCCCAGTGTACGCTAAAGACGGCGGGCTGCCCCCTAACTTCTCCAAAGCCACGGTGAAGATCCGCGTGCTGGATGAGAACGACCACGCTCCGGTGTTTGGACGCCTCTTCTACGGCCTGGAGGTCCCCGAGAACGCCGAGCCCCAGCCCCTGTTCACACTGAGGGCCACCGACCAGGACGCGGGCCCCGGGGGAGACATCAGCTACAGGGTCATAGGTGAGTGGGAGGGCATCTGAGCCAAGGCCGGTGCTATAGGCGAGTTTCATTGTTGACAAAAGCGCGCGTTGCATGCTGGGAATTATTTTGGTCGGCGGGAAGAAACACTAATTCAACATGACGGACGGAGCGAGAAAGCACGTAAAGGGTATTGATCCCGGTTATTTATCCACTCTAACGGCAGAGGACCCAAGACCATTTGACCAGAAATTGGTCATAAGCATCGATGGACGACAAATCACCCTTTTCAACCCCGACAAAAGGTGGAACAAACCAAATTTCTGGTCGGAATCACCAACTACCTGGACAAATATTCACTTATATCCACAATGACTTGGTGGAAACTCCTGGGCCATTCACAGCAGAAAAGATGAAAACCTCCAAGAGTCTCGATGTGTTGTTGAACTTGTTGGAGTCCACGGTTTGTTAGGATCTTCTACGTTTGCTCTGCGAATGTTTGAAAGCCGTTTAATTCGCCGTTAGCGGTTCTTTTCACTCAGAATACGAAAAAGACATTTTCCTTCTTCCGTGCTTCTATTTGTGCATCCGATAATGCAGCAGGAATTTACCATTATCGGGGATAAATACGCGAGGTTACGCACTGTGTTTGACGCTATCCTGTTTCTTACCTCCGACTAAAATATTTCCCAGCATGCAACGCGGGCTTTTAATAACAACGACGTCAGCTGAAACTCGCCTATAGGTGTAAGCAGAGCGAGCCAAAGCATGTGGGCCCACAACCACAAGGGGGCGCAAAAGGAGAATGAGTATTTACATGCCTTTCTATGCCTTTCTATCTTCAAATTCTGTACAGTAGGTCGATATTGTATAAAGGCCCTATATGCGATTTTTTTTTCCCCCTCCCATTTACTGTATTTTTTGGACTAAAAGTCGCTCCGGAGTATAAGTCGCACTATCCAAAAAATGCGTAATGAAGAAGAAAAAAACATATATAAGTGGCACAAGTCTATAAGTCGCACTTTTTGGGGGAAATTTAGTTTATAAAATCAGAGACCAGGAACCGACATTTTTTCTCAACAATAGAACAGAGAACAACAGACTGTTAATGTCACATATGAACAGTTCTTCAGATAAATATAACATAAACAACAGAACAGAACAAGTTTAACAAACTCTCCATCTCACTTCAAATCACTAAATCCATTCAATTCTTCATCCTCGGTGTCACTTCTGAGCAACTCCACGACCTCCAGAGGTAAACAGAGCGCCGCTTCCTCTTCTGTGTAGCTGTTGTCAGGCTCAGCATCAGTTCCAGTTAGAATTATTCTGGTCTTTCTGAATCCCGACAGGATGGTTTTGGTTGTCACTGAATTTCAGGCTTTGTCAATCCATCCCATGACTTCCAGGAAAGTTGCATGGTGCACCCTCCTGATGTCACAAGTTCTCATTCACTCCAAACTTTCTTTCTGCTGCTCGATTACCGTTTTCAGCTGCATATTTCGTTATTTGCAGCTTGTAATCTGCAAAATATGATTTTCTTTTTGGAGAAATTTGTGTTCAGTCTTCTCAGTCGTCTTTATAAGTTTGTTAAATTTTGTAAATTTCAGTGGTGCAGAAATAATGGTGCGATTGACTGACATGATACAGACAGGACAGAGGCTCTTTCTACAGGAGACATGCACAATAGAGCGAAGTGACAGTGGTATATAAGTCGTACTGGAGCATAAGTCACAGGAAACACCCAAACCATGAAAAATATGGTATTTTAACAGTACAGATGTAATAATAATAATAAAAATGATAATAATAATAATAATAGTAGACATATGAGCAGCTCCTCAGGTCAAAACAAGTCCAGTGTTTACTGTCTACATCTGATTAGAAAGCATTTTGTTGTCCGGTCTCCCCATTTATATCAGACAAATCCAAATGGAGCGCACTCCCATTAGTTCAGGGCGCTCTCACTACAGCGAGGGACAGTGTGCGTCTCGTTCGTCTGCAGGAACTATTCAGCTACCGGCAGCTCTGTACGTACGTCAGAATGCCTGTTTTTCCAGGTATTTCTGAGCTCTAAAACCATCTGTAATTGAAGAAATGAATAGAGCAGTTTAATGGTCAGGCAGAGCAATGACATATCCATAGAAACCAGCAGAAAAATCATACAATACAATGTACCTTTTAAGAGTTAAGGTCTACATTTATTGGAAAGCAGAACATCATTATGGACTACTTTCTTTGAATTTCACAGGCCTTCACAAAGCTAGAAACGGCCCTGATCTGCTGCTTTAAAACCTCCATATGGTTCCCGCCTGACCACCCATACAGCTCACTCATTACAGCTGTCCACGAGGCATTGATTTATGTACTGTCATGTGTCTCTGGATCGGGGATATGGACAGATATTCTCTGATGAGGTCAATACATGAGAATCTTCTTTACATTCAAAGTAGCTCTCTATCTCTGTGTTATATGACTTTTATGTTGGAGTTATTTCATAAAGCTGACAGACTGTGGTTCTTGTCTGGCGCTCTCTCTGATATCACATTTCAGTTTCTGTATTCATCAGATTGGCCTTTGTCTTATCAGGAACAAAGCTCCGTCACCGGGAGCAGTGCAGCAGACCTTATAATGTCAAATTACAGATGCGGGTTCAGGTGCTGACAAATGCTCTCCTGCTCCACCGCAATAATGTTGTTTTTGAACATGCCTCGAATGAAGTAAATAAGATTATGGAAAAATTGATTACTCAGACAAAGTTTGTTAATGCTGCACTTTGTAACTTTTCGCTTGGGGGTGCGTCATCTGCTTTTTTCTGTGGAAATGTTGTCGCTCTGCCTGGAATGTTCCACCATGTGACATTAAACATCTTTACTTTACATTTATTCAATTACAGGTGGTTTTCGAGCTCAAAAATACCTAGAAAAACAGGAGTTCTGACTGTGAGTGGGGTCATCTCTCCGCAGAGCTGACCTGTAACTTGGTCTGGTTTGGTCTTCATGGTGATAGAAAGGTTTAATGCCGTACTGAGAAACATTCCAGACAACATCTTGATGGAGAAAAGCATTTGACGGACAGAAAAGTTACACAATAAGCCTTTAAAACTGAGATATTTAACCATAGTTTTTAATCATGTTCTGTTGTGTCCTTCTCACTTACCATCTAAAGTTGTATTTAAAGTGATTCATGCATGTTTAAGTACCGTATTTTTCAAACTATAAGTCGCACTTTTTGGGTGAAATTCATTTTATAAAATCAGAGACCAGAAACCAACATTTCCTCTTGAAAGTCAAGTTCTAGTAAAAACAATAGAACAGAGAACAACAGACTGTTAACGTCACATATGAACAGTTCTTCAGATAAACTATAACATAAACAACAGAACAGAACAAGTTTAACAAACTCTCCATCTCACTCCAAATCACTAAATCCATTCAATTCTTCGTCCTCTGTGTCACTTCTGAACAACTCCACGACCTCCGGAGGTAAACAGAGCTCCACTTCCTCTTCTGTGTAGCTGTCGTCAGACTCAGCATCAGTTCCAATTTGAATTATTTCGGTCTTTCTGAATCCCGACAGGATGGTTTCGATGTCACTGAAGTCCAGGCTTTGTTGATCCATCCAGTGACTTCCAGGCGCACCCTCCCAGTAGCCGTGAAGCTGTGTTCTCCCTCTCCGCGTTCCCCCAGTCCCTCACAAGTTTCTTGCTCACGCCAAACTTTCTTTCTGCTGCTCGATTACCGTTTTTGGCTGCATGTTTCGCTACTTGCAGCAGGACAGAGGCTCTTTCTGCAGGAGACATGCGCAGTAGAGTGAAGTGACAGTGGTACAGGAGGAACAGGAGCAGCAGATACTGACACACAAGACTAGAGCCTCTCGCAGCTGTTAGTGTGAAAATTTTAATATATAAGTCGCACCGGAGTATAAGTCACAGGAAACACCAAAACCATGAAAAAAAGTGCGACTTATAGTCCAAAAAATACGCTATTTAGCCGACACAAACACAATCTGTCTTCTTTAATAAATGAATAAATAATCTCATATTGGACAATGTTTGATTGCAGTTTGTTAACATCCATAGTGAGTTCTATATCACTCATGTAAGTAAAAATGTCTTACCAAAACTGAATGTAAAACTAGTCAATAAAGGTTTAGGTAAATTAGTCCTTTGCATTGTCACTGGGGAAACCTGTCAGGAGCAAGGGACCCACCTCCAGATCTTCAGCTAGTCTTGGTCAGGACTATCTTAACTGGAGGATTTTACCTATTTTGCATTGTGTTTAGATTACGCAAACTCAAAAATAATACATTGTGTTATATAAAGAACAGTGAATGTCAATGAACTTATCTAACACTGTACTGTTTACTACACTTTGCCCCGATGAAGGCTGAAGGGTTGAAATGCGTTGGCGTGATTTTAACTTTATCTGCCATGTGTTATTTAAACGTTTTTAATTATTTTGTACTTTTTGAGTGCCTCAGTTTTTTTAACTTTGTATTTTAGTCTGATCCCTACATTGAAGAGCAGCAAAAGGACAATTCTGCACAATCTTTGTATATCCAAGTAGCACTCCTGCCCCTTAAAGTTTTACACTGAACTATTGTTTTTTGTTTGTTTTCTTCTAGCTTAAATTAAAATCTATAAATTGAATATAACAGTGTACTTTTTCTACGTTGTAATATGCTTCTGTAAACATATTTCAGTGTAGAAAAGGTTTCGTCGGTGGTCATCTGGAGACTGTTTTTACGATCAAGCCATTTCAGCTCTCGTCCTAAAGTCATTTTCAGTTTGATGATTCTGGTTTGAGGCGTAAGGATTGATACTTTGCGAGTTACTAAGTCCAGCCCTGGAGGGAGGGGTTTTAGAGCGAAACTGCCCTGCCCTTGTTTACAGCTAACATCATTATGGGTCGTAATGCCCCTATCGCCTCTTGGCTGTCTCACCTTCAGCTGTTAAGTACCTGATTAGCATTTGTCTGGCTTGCTTTATAGCTTCATGGCTTTACTCCAAGGCTTCAGAATGCTTTTGTAAACAGCTGGTAGCTTCAAATTTGGCATTTTATTTATCTATTTACCGCGCAGACTTCACCTTGACTTTCACCTCTAACTTAACTTTTCTGTTGTCTACTCAGCTGGAGACCCGTCCGGAGATTTCCACCTGGACCGTCTCTCCGGAGTCCTGTCCACCTCTCGGCCGCTGGATCGTGAACGCAAAGCCGGCTACACCCTCACCGTGTCGGCGTCGGACCAGGGCAGCCCTCCCCTCAGCTCCACCGTGTCCGTGGAGATCGCCGTCCTGGACATCAACGACCACAGCCCCCAATTCGAAAGCGCCTCCTACACCGCCGACATCTCCGAAGACGTGCCCATCGGTTCGCTGGTCGTCGACGTGAAAGCGGTAGACCTCGACCAAGGCGTTAACAGCCAAATCGTGTACTTTCTAAGCCAAGGTTCGAGGAGCATGTTCATCATCGACCAGAAAACAGGCCGCATCATTACCGCGGCTCCGTTGGATCGTGAAAAAGTAGCTTCGTACACCTTCGACGTTTACGCGATTGACTCTTCGCCGGCGAATCCGCGAAACTCCACCGCTCAAGTTACGGTTTATATCCAAGACGTTAACGACAACGCTCCGCACTTCATCCAAGATCCGCTCATACTGAACATTTCCATCAACAGCGTCTCCAATCGAAGAGTTTTGGCGACAATGAAAGCGGAAGATAAGGATTTCGGCGCGAACGGCTCAGTTTTTTACCGTTTCGCCAATCCGGTAAGAGGGTTTACCATCAATTCGTTGACAGGAGATATACAAGTGACCGAGAAGTTGCAAGGATTGACGCAGAGCCAGAGGACGCTGATAGTGCAAGCCATGGACCAGGGGAATCCGGCGCAGTCTTCTCTCGGGGTGGTGGTTGTGTACTTGAAGGAGCAGGAGTACACGGGGATAAAGTTCTCAAGGAGCGCCAGGGATGTCAGTCTTCAAGAGAACGCCGCTCAAGGTTAGTCACTGTGGAAATACAATTTAACTAATGTGATTTAAATGGGTCAGTCCATAGGAAATCAGCAACCCTCCCCTATGAGCCATCTCAGATTTGGCTGAAAAATGTTTTTAAACTTTCTAAAATTACCAAATAAAAGAATCTAAAATTTTAGCTCAACCCTTCAGTTGTTCCTGAGTTATGGCCCGTTGAAATTCTGGGGCCATGCTCACTTTTTCGAGGCCTTAATTTATAAGCATTTTTGAGAGACCATAACTTCATGAAAAATAGAGCTGGGTAGCTGAAAATTCCAGAATAACAATAGGAATGAGCCTGAAAGCAAAAACAGACAAAATGAAAAAAACAAAGACAAAAATCATGTATTAACCTGAAATATTTGTGATTATAAAAGACACAAGGATGGCAGCGGTGCAGCTGGTTAAACATTCACCCACAGACGAGAGGGTGACCAGTTTGGCCCTGGCTAAGATCGTGTCCGGTCCTGGTTTAGTTCTGATTTAGACATGGGGTAATCCTGGTTTAGACATGGTTTAGTCCTGGTTTAGACATGGTTTAGTCCTGGTTTAGTCCTGCATTAATCCTGGTTTAGTCCTGGTTTAGACCTGGTTTAGACCTGGTTTAGTCCTGGTTTAGTCTTGGTTTAGTCCTAGTTTAGACTTGGTTTAGTCCTGGTTTAGTCCTAGTTTAGACTTGGCTTAGACCTGGTTTAGACCTGGTTTAGTCTTGGTTTAGTCTTGGTGTAGTCCTAGTTTAGACTTGGCTTAGACCTGGTTTAGACCTGGTTTAGTCGTGGTTTAGTCTTGGTTTAGTCCTGTTTAGTTTAGTTTAGACCTGGTTTAGACCTGGTTTAGACCTGGTTTAGTCCTGGTTTAGTCCTTGGTTTAGTCCTGGTTTAGACCTGGTTTAGTCCTGGTTTAGTTTAGACCTGGTTTAGACCTGGTTTAGACCTGGTTTAGACCTGGTTTAGTCCTGGTTTAGTCTTGGTTTAGTCCTAGTTTAGACTTGGTTTAGTCCTGGTTTAGTCCTAGTTTAGACTTGGCTTAGACCTGGTTTAGACCTGGTTTAGTCTTGGTTTAGTCCTAGTTTAGACCTGGTTTAGACCTGGTTTAGTCCTGGTTTAGTCCTGGTTTAGACCTGGTTTAGACCTGGTTTAGACCTGGTTTAGTCCTGGTTTAGTCCTGGTTTAGTCTTGCATTAGTCCTGGTTTAGTCCTGGTTTAGTCTTGCATTAGTCCTGGTTTAGTCCTGGTTTAGTCCTGGTTTAGTCTTGCATTAGTCCTGGTTTAGACCTGGTTTAGTCCTGGTTTAGTCCTGGTTTAGTCTTGTATTAGTCCTGGTTTAGTCCTGGTTTAGACCTGGTTTAGTCCTGGTTTAGTCTTGCATTAGACCTGGTTTAGTCCTGGTTTAGTCTTGCATTAGTTCTGGTTTAGTCCTGGTTTAGTCTAAGGCCAGTCCTCTTTCTGACCTTGTAGAGAAGATTGGTCCAATATGTCACAGAGGAGACAGATGTGTATTTTTGTAGATTTTAGGTCCTAGATTCTAAATCTGTTGTCAAATATTAGGTATACTTATTAAGGTGGGTGCTGTGGGCCCCCAAAATCTCAAATTTGGTTGCGGCTCAATTTTTTTTTTTCAATTTTTGAAGGTCCAAGATCTATTTACTCCAAGCAGATATTTACAAACTAACTGCTGAACCTGAATCTTTGAGAGAATGACCATTTCTGACAACAATCTCACACTTTTCTGAGCTTTCATGTGGACGGTGTAGAGCCCCAAATATGGTCACAGACCGGATTTGACCCTTTTGACCCCTTCTTTGGACCTTCAGTTCCCTATGACGGCACTTTTAGATGTTGATACAATTTTTACCAGAGAAACTTTGGAATATTTTGATTAGTTTAAAGTAATAAAAACATCTGCTATTAACTTCCTTCATTTCAAACAGAAGTTTTGAAAATGAGCTCTCACAGGTCACTTTTGGTGGAGCTTAGGTACTTTTCCACCTACTAGAAAGGTTCAAATACCTTTAATAGCCTTAAACACTCATTGTTTCTCATCAAGAAGACAACTGGAGATTATTTGTGGCTCCTTGAAAACGGCTGATTTCATATGGATCGACCCAAATGCTTGTATAACTGCCTATCATTGCCCACACAAGTAACATTACAGTGATTATTATTATTATTAAATGTTCGTAAATGAAGGTGAGCGTGGCAATCAAACACGTTCATGACAAGTTTCACGGTTTCTGTTTTGACCATGTTTCCGTAGCGACAAACATTTCAGCTCAAGCGTCTTCCCATATGATTCTGAAATGGCACCGCAGCTCGTGTCATAACATTTCTAAGTAGTAGATTAATTGGCTCTGTGCGCAACGGTAGCCGGCTCGCTCCAATCAGAGGCACCGTAAGCAACAGCAGCTCCGCCGTAACGTAATCCCTCTGAGGTTTTGCAGAGTCTCGCTAAAATAACAATTTCGCTAAAACAAACAATTCTGAAACTTCACCGGAGGATACTTCTGCGTCTACAAAGGTTCGTCTTTGTGTGTCTGTGCTAAAACTAATTCCAGAGGCTAATAAATATTTAAATAACACTATTGATTGAAATAACCTACACCTAAAAATAATCAGGTAGTTCTCATTAATATTTTAGATATTTTTCTGGTAGAGGGTCCACCAAATGATTTTCTTCTTGGAGATGTTATTCATTTGTGTGGGATGTTTGATGATAAGTATTCAAACTTTCTATCATTCTGGAAACCAAAGTTACTGGTCAGATCTGTGGAGAGGCAAGCCCGCTCACAGTCCAAATGCCTGTTTGTCGAAGTATTTTTGAGCAATGAAACCACCTGTAATGTAATAAATGTAAGATAGATCTATTTAATGTCATATTCGAAGCAGAGCAATGAGACACTCATGGAAACAAGAACAAGGTGACGGAACCCCAGTCAAAAAATGACATAGTGCACTTTTAACGTTTTAATAGAAGTCCGCATTACCATGACACACAAAGACGTACCTTTCTAAAGACAAAAGTGTCCGGTGAAGTTTTACCTGCCTCATCTGTATATAGATTAGCCTGATTCATCAGCCGGTTTCACTTCGCGGAAACCGTCTGACCTCGCAGCATTAGTATTAAATCGCTCGACTGTAGGTGGAAACTAAGCCAATGATGTTCATTATGTCTTCTTATATACATTAACTTCTTAGGTTCTTTTTAAAGACAATGCAGTAAAGTGTATTTACCTTGTTGACATGTTTCGGCTGCTCGCTGCAAGTCATCTTCAGAACTGTCACCGGTGTTGGTGTTGACGTGTCGTATATCAGCGGTTGTTACTTCCTGTAGGCGTGGTCAAGCCTGATGGACCTGGCAGGTCGCTCAGACTGACCACGCCTCCCGTCGCCCGGTGTCTCTGGAGGAGGGTGTCCCAGGTGTGTGAAAGGAGGAACGCTCCGTCATCACGGTTAATCCTGTCCGTGCCTCGTTTCCTGATTTCAGTGTCCTCCTTGATCCAGCGTTTGAACTTGTTGTTTTCCGATCCAATGATCCGAGCCCCGTCCCAATCCAGAATGTGGTTGTTCCTTTTACAGTGTCTGATATGGTCGGATTTTAGGTTTTCCTGTTCTGCTTTGTCTTTTTGTGTTCTGGTGAGTCTCCCTGACGTTTCCTTTTCGCATTCCTTTTGGTGTTCCTTTTTTCGGATGTGAAATGCCCGGCCTGTTTCCCCTATGTATGATTTATTGCATGATTTGCATTGGATTTCGTAGATGGCATTGCATTTTTGTTCTTGTGGGATTTTGTCCTTGGGATGTACGAGTAGTTGGCGGAGTTTTGTGTCTGGTTTTACTACAGTGCTTATGTTGTGTGTTTTTCATGGCTCTCTGGATGGGTTCGGTTATTCCTCTGATGTTCGGTAGTGTGACTATGTTCTTGTGGTCCTGCTGCCCTGTGTTGCATTGTTGTGTTTTTTTTTTCCGGGGTTTGTTGGTTTTACTGCATTGTCTTTAAAAAGAACCTAAGAAGTTAATGTAGGTGGAAACTGTTTTTATTTAACCAATCGCTGCTATTTGGTCGTGATGTATGTAATGCGCCAAATTCCATAGGAAGAAGGGCAATAACGTCTTTCCCCTTGATAAAATTCAGCAAACATTCTCTTTGTTCCGGCTTTAAATCCTCGACCTCGGGAATCGTTGCCAACAAAGAATGTCTGTCTTCGTCTACATCCATCTCGACGCTTTGTTTTCTGTTGTGCTGTTCCACAAAAGGGACCCAGACAGGCGCTGGAGTTTGACCTCATGGCTTCACAACTCTTCGTTGATTGGTCAGTGCACGGTCTATAACTTCTTGCAAACCGTCTAAGTGTATTCTGATTCCTGACCTAGTCGCTGGAGAGAAATGAAATTGAGCAGAGGCACTTGGTAGCGCCAGCCTGGCTATATATGGATTACGGCTCCATGAAAACAGGCAGATCACACCACCAGGCCAAATTACTGGTCAGATCTGTGGAGAGGCAATGCCACAGTAAGAATGTATGTTTACCAATTATAACACCTAAAAGAATAAATGCAAGATAGATTTACAGGTTTACATTTCACATTTCATTATAAGCAGGTGACGGAACTCCCTTCAGAAAAGTTACAGAGTGCATTCTTAGTTTATTTTTTGTTTTCAATTCTTTCCAGGCACAGTGGTAACTCAGACTCAGGCTCAGTATCCAGACGGCTCCCAGACTGGCATCAGCTACAGCCTGTTCAGCGGCAACCAGAGGAGCTCTTTTGGGATCAACCCCATCACCGGTAAGTTTGACAAATACACCGTTATTCAGCCACAGTAACATTGAGTTATGTTTACTCAGTTACACCACACTTTTACTCTTACTTGAGGTACATATTTGACAATGAACAGTACTCTTACTTGAGTATAAGTTGGGGTTTCTCTTCCCACTGTAAGAGAGTAAGTCGACGAGTGACAAAAGCTTTACGTTACAGTATGAAATGATTAGAACATTTGAGTTTCTAGCTCCTTCAGATATGATTGTTTGTCTTGTTTGTGTCTATTCTTTGAAAACAGCAGCCTTTGTGCACTATTGAATGTTTTGTTCTTCAAATTACATGAACGTAAATCATAAATCAGATGTTATGACTCACAGATACTCTTTAAGTTATTTTTACATGAGCACTCCTTTGTTCTTTTACTTGATTGAAACATTAATCTTGCTGGAATACAGTTTTTTTTTACTCTACCCACCTCTGCAACCTGTGATAAAATCCATAAATCTTACTTAACATTTTCTTCTTTCTTTTTTAGGGGAGATCTGGGTGCAGAAATCTGAGGGCCTGGACTTCGAGGAGAGCCCTAGACTCCGCCTGGTGGTGAAAGCGGAGACCGCGTCCTCCAGCTCGTACATGGCGGTGAACCTGATCCTGCAGGACGTGAACGACAACCTGCCGCGGTTCCACCTCCAGAACTACGTGGCCTACATCAGAGAGGCGCAGGGATACGACTTCCCCATTATACAGGTACATCACTTAAAGGTTGTATGGAGGATTTTTTTTTTGTTTCAAACTGTCGGTCAAAGATTAAAATACCATTACAGAGACGCAGCAGCTTTGTAATTATGATGACCAAAAAAAAAAGAACGAAAATCTATCAACTGTGGACGTGTTGAGGCCAGATAAACATCAGCCAATAGAAAACGAGGCTCCCTCATTTTCTGTTGACTGTTAGGTTGTCAATCAAACTCCCTAGTATAACTGATTCGTCAGAGCGCGGGGATTACGTGGTTTATGCAGAGGTTCTTAGAGGCTTTTTCGAACTGTCGCTTCCTCGCATTTTACACAAAGTTTGTCGCGACGGCGGACGAGAATCCACGACCGGTTCGCCGCAAAAGAAAGTCCGTTTTTGAGGTCGCTGAAAGAAGAAGAGAAGTGGAAAAGGAGCAAAGCCAAACTGAGGTGATTCTTGGAGATCTCATCCAGCGATGGCGCGACCGAAGCAGGCGAAGGGTCTAAAAACTGACGCGTCGGTCGCTGAATTACTTCTAGACAGGAAACTTCAACACTAATTCTAAATGCGCACAAGGACTGTCACTGTATTTCTCTTCCCTTAAAAAAATCCTCTATACAACCTTTAAACTAAAGACTTCAATACCAAATGTAGAGGAGTTCGAGGTATTCAGTTAAGGCCCAAGAAAAAAATATTGAAAGAACTTTTGTACTACTAATATATTTTTTCAGGCTTTTTTATTCAGTGAGTAATAAACACTACACTAGTAATAATTTCTAGATCATTGTTATAAACTTGGACTGATATTTCTTGGGAAACAAAGGGTTAATATAATGGAATGGAAATGGACCAATCACAGTTTTTCTTCCAGTGGTATCTGGGTAAATCAGTGACTCCCCCTGCTGGCGCTGAACTAAAGAAACACCTTCATTCCAGCCACCGAAGGCCCGTGCAATAGGAGGGTTTCAGTCACGTGATCACGATGATGCGCGAATTTCAGGTGGAGGGCAGGAAGTGAAGACAAACACGACAAACACGGCCCTGGAGAACACAGATATATGGACAAGAGTTCTTATTTTAAGGATTTAGGGCCAGTAGCGAGGCAAAAGTACGAGCAGTTAGTCGACAAATATATTGGGCGTGACCCTGATCTTATTGAAAATGAGAGAATTTTCAACCGAAGTAAAAGATTTGCCGACAATCGAGGCAGAGGAGATCACAAACTATTTAGCTCTTCAGACATCGTTCTACACCAGACAACAGATGAAGCTGTACAAAAGTTTGGAGGGATATAACTTTTTTTGTCAGTGGGTGGATCCTCAACCTTGGTGCAAAACGCCTAAATGATGATTATTGTTTGGTCTTCGCCGGGGTGAGTGTTTCTCTTATTTTATGTGCATAGACGTTATGGAAGAACTGCAGTGTATCAGCTGTAACCTCCATCTGAACTATTTAATGTCAACAAACGTCGTTAGCCGTTAGTCGTTAAAGATTCGTTTATGTTTAGGTAAACCACAAAAAACTATTTAGCTTTGTAACAAACCTTTGAGGAAGTGGTCACTGCAGACACGAGCATTAGTGAATTCTGCTCCTCCCGACCGCAAACAGGTTTGTAATCCACTTTTTACGGCGTTGTTCTGTCGGCTTTTCCCATTTCTGACCTTTGTGGACGACTATATTCGGTAATCTAAAAAAAATCGCTTTTCCTTCTCTCGGTTAGAACGATTGGCACAGCCGTAAACTACACAACACATCGGCATTTTCCTCCAGTCAGTTCACTTCCTGCCCTCCATCTGATTTTGCGTGCTGACAAACGTAGCCCTGTGACGTCACGTGAAACCCACCTATTCAAATTAATGTGGGTTTGAGTTTGACAGTTGTCTTAGCCAATCATAATTCACTGAGTTATGGGCGGGATCATATCACGACATCTTTAGGGCCTTCGCGAATACCCAGAGATGGCAAATATAAGTGAGACCGCGGCATCAAAAAACACGCTGGACGCCTCGATTTGGACTCCTCTGGGATGTCGGAAAGAAGGAGAAGAAAGAGAAAGAGACGAGAACCGAAGCTTTTAGAGCCTGTGGAGCTCGGCCGCAGTAACATCGATCTGTAGTCGTTGAAGAGTAGCTAATGATCATTAAACAAATATATGAAGTAAGTGAATGTGTGATTTGTCATGATAGCCAGCAGTTGGTCCTAGTGAAGGCCCAGGGTCCAGGTCCATGGTTCGCCACTGTGTAACTGAATAAATGTAAGGTAGAGCTGTTTAATGTTATACTGTGGAACATCTCACGGACAGCAATGACATCTCCATGGAAAAAAGCATTTGACAGACCCTAAAGGCTTTGTAACTGATTTTACGGCCTTAAAATGTGAAAAAAAAAAAAAAAAGAAGTATTTAATTTTAAAAGTTATTCCTCACTTACCTTTACCGCACTTTGAATTATTTTGTGTACGAATTGTGCTATACAAATAAACTTGCCTTGTCTTGCCTTGCCTTATATATTCAGCGCCCGACAACTATACTGTTAGTACTTCCTAGAGATTTGCAGAGTAGCCAAAAATTGTACGTGTAAGAGTAATGTTACTTCAAAATAATATCACTCAGGTAAACTTATGATGTCTTTTAGTGATAAGTTTCTGAATGATAACGACCGAACGATAATGACCATTTCCCGTTTACGTGACTTCCGTGACTGCAATGCCGAACTTTTGCACCGCATACGGACTGAACCAGGACTGATCCAGGTCCGAGACCAGACCGGAACCAGACCGGGACCAGAGCGGGACCAGTGTGGACTCCGAACCTCCATGGGGTCCGAGCCTCCGCGGGCTCAGAGCCTCAGCTTCGAGCTCCGGCCCTGCCGTGGGCTCTGAGCCTCCGGTCTGGTCCCGGTCTGGTCCTGGTCTTGTCTCGGTCTCAGGCCCGCTCTGGTCCCGGTCTGTCCCAGTCTTAGTAGTGCTCTGGTCCAGGTCTGGTCCCGGACCTGGTCCATTTGAACCAAAAGCTCTTAGTTCTGTTCGTTTTCGTTGGTGTGAAAGCGTGAAAGCTTTGCACCACCTTGGAACCAGCCGCAGTTCTTGAGCACGGAGGACCGGCGCAGCCCGTCCGGACCTGTAGTCCACAGGGCATTCTCGCTTTCCCCTCATGGAACCAGCGCGCAGGCGATTACACGAGACCGCTCGGACCTCTGGTCTCGGTCTCAGTTCCGGTCTGGTCCCGGTCTGGTCCCACTCTGGTCCCGGTCTGGACTCGGACCTGGATCAGTCCTGGTTCAGTTCATACTCGGTGCAAAAGTCCGGCATCGCAGTCACGGAAGTCACGTAAACAGGAAACGGTCATTATCTGTTTTTTTCCATTCTTCATTTAAACACAAAATCGAAAACTGAAAAAATGAATCGTTATCTCTTTTTTTTTAATTTTGGTTTTGGAGACAAATAATGAAGAAAACTGTTGTTTTTTCGTTTTCTTATTTTTGGTTTTATATTGAAAAACGAATGAACGAATGATACACGGATTCGTCACAAACAAGGAAGACGTTTGGAAACATGTTCCCGACACTGGGCTCACTGACCGACTGTGATCAAACCCACTGAAGTAAATGTGATCAGCGGTAAAATGAAGACAGCAGACGTATGTGCTGTTTGGAATCATCTTGAATTCGGTGCCTCGTCTCTTCTAGCTCGGAGTTGTGCATCAGTGGGGAAATGATGAAAACTGACGCATGGTTGTAATTGTTGATTACCTGAACATAACGGAACGCTACAATGACATGGAGATGAAGAAAACTGGGACATTTTCTCATTTTTCCTAGATTTTGTCAGATTTACTACCGCGAACAGAGCGCGCCAGAAGTTGTTGTCGCTTATTTGATTTATGTATTTATTTTGGGCCAGTAAGAAATTTACATTCTTTTACAATGGAACATATAACATCCATGAAATCTTAGCAAAAATAACAACAACACAATAAAATAAACTGACCCAAAAAGGAGTGGGAAGGAGAAAACGTATTTAATCCCACCCCGACTCTTCTAATCTATAACAATCAGCTTTCTTTAGAATTTTTCAGACGTTTTGAATTAAACTATATGAACTATTTACGGACAAAGAGTTGCTGTTATAGTTTGGTAACATAACTGTATTGCAATAATACATAATGAGAAGGAAAATTAAAATACCAACAATAACAGACGGCACATACCAGCAATGGAGCGGAAACAATAAGCATAAATCAGCACTACAGAAGCAGTATCGTTCTAATATTAAGACCCGCTCTCTATGTACTGCGACCAGACCATATGTTTATATAACAACTTGAATTTATGGATATTTTGGCATTGCTTGAGACGTGTATCCAGACTGTTCCAAAGTTTTACACCACATACAGACACACAGAGACTTTTACGGTTAGTTCCAACATTGGGCAATTTGAAATTTCCATACTCTCTAAAATGATGAGTTCTCTCTCTCATTTTGAACAAGATTTGAAGATTATTTGATAGTAAATTGTTGAATGCTCTAAATAAAATGACCAGTGTATAATATTTTACAAGGAATCTTTAGGAGCTCGGGTTGAATAAAAAGGGCGTGTTCTAAAAATCCAACTTTGTTTCCAAACGTCTTCTTGGTTTGTTACGTAAGCATGATTAGAACTTATACTGCTGAAATCATCCGAATGATTCTAGTGAAGGTGTATGGAGTTTAAAAACACAGTGGAGCAGTCCCTGTATTACCACATTGCATCGCAACGTGGAAGAGTGTTTTCCGTTTCAGATAAAAATCCAGTCTAATGCTGCAGGGTTTGTGTGTTAAACATGTGTGAATGAACCAAAAAAACACAGCTCCAGGTCTGTTTGTGATGAGGAAACAACATTTTAACATAGATCAGAAAAAATTTAACTGTGTACTACTCCCGTCTGTGCAAAGTATCTTCTTTTTTGCAGCTAAACTGGTGAATGTGATTTTGGCTTGTTATGCACCTGTCGCTAAACACTGGTCCCCCACATGTTTCCCTTTGGCTCCACTCTGCTCCCCTCTGTTCTCTCACGCTGCTCATTTACATGTCGGCAGAGCAGGTGTTCCTCTATAACAGATACACATAATGCAAAATGACTGATTTAGTTTCTAGTTTCATTTGCCTCAAACAAAGTGTTCATGTAAGAAGAAATGTTACTTCTGGGTTATTTTTCGGACTATAAGGCGTACTTAAAATCCTTTAAATTAAATTCCGATTGCGTTTACTGACCTCGAAGGGATTTTATGAGATGCACGGTGCTCAAAAATCTGTCAAAATGTTTTAGTACGACTTTGGTAAACTACGAAGACACAGCATTTGATGGATTGTCGGAGCATTACGGCGTAATGGAGTAAAGGGCGAAGTATAGTTCTGTGTCGACTGATCGCATACTTCCGCTGTCGCCTTGTTGCAGAAAAAACACCTATAATCCACTGAGTCGTGTTCTTTAGTCCGACAGAAGCTGAACCGCATCAGCGCACAAGAAGCGAGCAGTTTTTTTCAGTGCTTATAGTTTATGCAAATGAGCCATGTGGTTTTAAGTTCCGTTTCTGTAAAACATAAAGAAATGTGTGCAAAGCTGCATTAAACACATTATTACTCAATGTATATTGATGTATATAGTATGTATATAGTGTATTTCCTCGTAGGAAAATAAAACAACAAACTTAAATGATCCACCCACATTTAGGCAAGGCAAGTTTATTTGTATAGCACAATTTGTACACAAAGTAATTCAAAGTGCTTTACAGAATAAGAAATACATTAAAATCATAATAAAAACAAATCAAAACATAAATAATCATACAGATAAAAATTTTAAAAAGAGAGACATAAATTAGAGAGAAGAGTGAGGAATGAAAACCTTGTCAGTTATATGCACAGTTTAAACAGCGTCAAAGAAGAGGCCGGTTTCACATGTTCAGGAAGACTGTTCCAGGTTTTAGCTGCGTGAACCTGAAAGGCTGACTCCCCTTGTTTAGTCCTGACCACCACCATTCATAACACACGGGCGAATTACACCACGATCTGCCAATGGTTCGTGGACGCCTGGGCTAAGGGATCAGTCTCAAGTGTCGTCCATTTGTTTCGCTGAATGCGCCTTATAATCCGGTGCACCTTATAGTCTGAAAAATACGGTAATTCAGGAAGCTCCTCTTTGTTTTTTAAGGTCCTATATTACGCAAAGCTGACTCTTGTGAGCTTTAAGTCATGTCAGAATGTTGTCACCTCATCAAAAACAAAGATGAGAAGCAGAGGGGGCACAAACTGAAGACACCGTGCACCTGCAGTGGGGGTTTAAATTGGGCAAACTGGATGAGGTCCAATCATCAGGGAGGAGTAACAGCAGTGAGGTGATGAAGGCTGAGGAGCAAGTAAACTCTGGAGACGTGTTGAGCGAGGTTAGATCTTCCACGCTGAATTTGCGCTATCTCATCCGTTGTAGTTCCATCTAATTCTGTTCTTTATGGTCAGATTGTGCTAAATTAGACTTTACTCTGAGCTTTATTTTGAGCAACTACGTTTGAGACAGAGCAGCGTCTCCAGACTTTTTCCTCTGGTGAGCTACTTTTACCAAACGAAAATACCAGAGAGCTCCTCATTTTAATGTTCGCAAGAAATTTAGTACGTTTAAGCCCTACGGCAAGCCTGAGATAGAGTACAGTTAGACGCCTATAAACCTTACAAACTATTATCCATTTATTTATTTAGTTTGGCAAATAATAATACAGTTTTAGTTATTCAGAACAGTGCTTATAATTCAGAAATCCCTTGGCGAGCGACTTGGAAGAGGGTGGAGAGCTACTGGGAGCTCCCAAGCTTCAGGTTTGGTTCAAATTCAGGTGCATGTGAATATGGGAGTGGTTCTTGGTTCTTGATGTAAAGTCAAATGCCTTGAAGGTGGAAATGTGATAAAATGTGATAGAAATGTGATAAAAACGTGACCATGATATTAGCTGTAAAGTATCAATCCTGTCTAATAGGCTATGTTCAGACTGCAGCCTGAAGTGACCCAAATCCGATTTTTTGACCCCTATGTGACCTGTATCTGATCTTTTAATGACAGTCTGAACGACACAGATCAGATTTTTTCAAATGTGACCCAGGACACTTGGATATGTGCTCCTGAAACCGATACATATCTGATCTTTTGACATGTGACTTCAGTCTGAACGGCCAAAGCGCATTCATCCGACCTACACGTTATCAACAAGCCACAAACGTGACTATTCTGCGCTGAAGTAGGTGAAAATTGTTAATGAACTCCGTGTCACTGAAGCGAAGCACATCACCACTCACCACTCTTGGCTACGTCTCCACATCCACACGTTCCTTTAAACGGACGTCGCTGTCGCTGTCCCACAAAACACCACGACCAAAAACCTCATCCTTCTCCTTCTCAATCTCCTCCTTAAAACAAGAAAGTTGTTCATGTTCTGGCTCCGGTACGAGAGGAACTTTAAAATCTCCAGGTGCTCAATGCTCGCGTCCGTGTTTGGACAACTTCCGTAAACACAGAACACGCTCGCTGTGGTTGACGTCGTCGTGTCTCCAGTGCACATGCGGGACACTTCTGGGCCAATTAAAGTAAATGTGAAATGTGAACGACCTCGCAAAAACATCGGATTTCACAAAAAATATCCAAATTGAGCATCAAGCCCTGCAGTCTGAACGTAGCCGTATTGTATCATAACTCTCTGATCACCATCGTCTCCTTGTGTCTCCTCAGGTGTCTGCAGAAGATCTGGACCAGGGTCAGAACGCTCAGGTGACCTACTCTCTCCGCTCCTCCTCCATGAGCGCTCTGTTTAAGATCGACCCAGTGACGGGCAGCATCAGCACGGCCGCCATCATGGACCGCGAGATCTGGACCCAGACCAAGTGAGTCCGGTGTTTCTTTCATTCTTTGTGTATCGTCTTTAACTCGTCGCAATTGAATTGAAATCGCAATTTGAACGGACACAATTAGCAAATCACAAAGGTTGAAATAGAGCTTCTTTTTTTTTTAACAAACATCTAAATCTCTTGTCTTATTCTGCATAAAATCTGCTCTCTCTGTGGTTTAGATTTGCACAAACATGTTCTGAAATGTGATTCTTGTATCAGCTTCTCAGTTCATATTTCAGTCTTTTTGTTAATTCTTCTGGACGTGTTTAAAATCTGAACGTTGAATAGAGTCTTATCATTAAAACTTAAAGGTCCTATATTACACAAAATTGATTTTTGTGAACTTTAAGTACTGTTATATTGTGTTTACCTCATCGAAACATATGTGGAGCTGTGTTTTGTTTCATAGATCAGAAAATAGTGTAATATGGGCCCTTTAAATCACAAATGTATTCACAGTCCAGTCCCAGATCAGTCAGTTGTGGTTTCTTTTTTGTGATGTTTTGTACTTCACAAAAAGACACAACAGATGGAAACTAAATATTATGAAAAGAGCAAGGTCGATCAAAGTGAGTAAAACACAAATGAGCACAAAAATAAAGTAAAACTACTGAACAGTGGCCCAGTGCAGAGGTTTGGAAATTATTTTTTACAGTGTATGTGTAATAATATGCACTGTCCTTTCAAAATAAATGTGTAAATACAAAATAAAAGCATGCCATACCAGCTTGTCAAACCCTAATCACATCAGATCTCAGAAGCTCAGCAGGGCCGGGCCTGGTTGGTACTTGGATGGGAGACACTGGGAAAATCAGGTGCCACAGGGGGGCGCCCGTGGCAAAAGCTGTCATTGTGTCCTTAGGCAAGACACTTCACCCACATTGCCTTGTATGAAAGTGGTGTGTGTGTGAGTGATGGTGGTGGTCGGAGGAGCTGATGGCTCAGATTGGCAGCCTCGCTTCCGTCAGTCTGTCCCAGGGCAGCTGTGGCCACAACAGTAGTACCACCACCAAGTGTGGAGTGAATAAAATAAATAAAAGCATGCAGCAAAATCAATAAAATATACAGTAATGTACAAAGTTACAAACCTAAATACATACAACCACGAGCAGTACAAATGCAGGTATCGATATGATTATGCAAACATATATTTACTAATTAACATATGCAAATTTTCAGGCATCACTTTTAGACATGTTAGACTATTTCCTTCTATTTGAAACACTTTTTTTTAATACAAATGTTTACTGACATGCCTTCACTCATCATAGATCAATATCAAGTATTGGGATAGGCAAAACATTACTTCTATTACTGTGGTATCCCTACTGTTCTACTATAACAACTTTACAACAACTAAAATTATAGTTTCTAAAAGTTGTCATATGGGCAGATTTGAAGTTGCAGCTGTTCCACCTCTCGTCCAGAAGGCTTCTCCTTTCTGAAGACGCCACTGGTCTGGGAACGGGATTTAAAGTACAAAGAGGGAAGAGTTTAGAACTTATCAAGCTGTTTACTGCAGAGGAGGAGAAAGTACCATGAATCACACTTTGAAAACTTTTTTTTTTTTTTACTTTGGTCCATCGGGAATGCCTGGCATCCAGAATACACACTTCTCTAATAGTTTACGAAGACGTGAGTCTGGTCTCTGGTGAATCTCTCGAGTTCAGATGGGTGTGATTGACAGGTAGATTAGCCAATCAGAGGCAAGCATGGTCCAGCTGTAAATATGAAAATTGGAACAAAGAAAGGAAAATAATGTCACGGGGGACTGAAAAACATCACAGATTTCTACAGAATCAACGAGTGAAGCACTTAACTTTGTTCATCTGAGGTGAGGGAAAGTCTGGTGAAAATGATGACCATGGTGACCAATGAGCTGCTTCGTTACACATGTGTCATTAAAAATAAACAAATCTGATTGGACAGCACTGTTTGAATCTGGCTTAAGGCGCAGTACAGGGTGTGGTGAGCAGAAAGCAGAGGTGGGTAGAGTATCAAAAAAAGTATTGCATCAAAATAATATTAATGGAGTAGAAATACTGTTGAAAAGTATCTCTTGATGATAAATAGTTAATCCATTTGCGAAGCCCGATGAGTTTTTGGAATACAGGCAAAGGTTTATTCTTTTTAAGGACAGGGCCTAGGCCTGCCCTGGCCACAGACCAACAGCCTCTTATGAAAACCCCTCCTCCTTGTCTTCATCTCCCCCAGAGCACCTTCAGTGAGCATCTCCTCTGAGTCTCTCCCCTACAGCTTCTGAGCTCTGAGTATTTATACAGAAATACAAGTTAGAATACAAGTCTGCTGAGGCTTTACACGTGCTAATGATTGGTCTTGGTCTCAGGTAGCCAGACTGGCGCCACCTAGTGCCTCCGCTAAATTTCATTTCTCTCCAGCGACTAGGTCAGGAGTCAAATTATACTAGACGGTTCGCAAAAACCCTCGGGCACCAGCCAATCAGTGAAGAGACATACATTCTGTGTTGTCAACGATTCCCGAGATCGAGGATTTAAAGCCGGAACAAAGAGAATGTTTGGTGAATTTTATCAAGGGGAAAAATCTTATTGTCCTTCTTCCTACGGGATTTGGGAAAAGCTTAATATACCAGTTAGCCCTGTTAGTGGCACATTACATACGTGATGACCAAATAACAGCGGTTTCCACGAAGTGAAACCGGCTGATGAATCAGGTTAAGGTCTCAGGTAGAAATCACATTAATTTACACAAAGACACACTGAGAGAAATCTTTCCACAGTATAAATTCCCATCACAGTACAAAGCAGTCATCCAAGAAACTACTCAAGAACGAGTACAGTATTTGTTCAAGTAAGGCTGACTTAAAGAATATCTGTCAGAACATCTTGATTTATAATTCAAAGTGAATGTAATCTGAAGGACAGAACATTAAGTAAGGCACAAATCTGGTGCTGTCAAAGGACAGACATAAAAATGACTACATTATATCTAGAGGAAGAAACACATACGTTCAAATTAGGGGTGTAAAGATATTGGACGCAGCAGCGGCTTTTAAGTCTGAGGTCTAGAAGCATTTTGGGTTTGTTGTGACATAAAACGAGAAAGAAGAAAAAGTGACAGACAAACAACAAACAAACACTGACAATGCACCATGCGGTTCACCTCGGGAAATACTACAACATGAGAAGTCACTTGATAAGCCGACATGCCAAAAATGTTCAAGAATGTGTTCAGAAAATCAAATTAGGACAAAAAAACTATACGTGAAGTATTTACAACAGTGCTGCCTCACAACTGCGCTCAAGAAATGCATATATAGCGCGTGATTTGCATTTATTTCCCATGGTGGGCAGCGTCGGGTTTAAAAGGTTAGTGGCTAAACTGGAGCAGAAATATAAAATGCCATCACAGTTACGTTAGTTTTTTTAAATTTCCTACGAGGAGGACTCAAATATACATTGGGTAATAATGTGTTTAATGCCGCTTTGCGCACATTTGTTTACGTTTTACAGAAACAAAACTTAAAACCACATGGCTAATTTGCATAAGCTCTGAAAAAAACAGCTCCTTGTGCACTGATGCGGTCAGCTTCTGTCAGACTTACTCCACGAGGCTCCTGACTGCGGTAGACGTAATGCTCAGACAATCCATCAAGCGGTACGGTTTCGTAGTTTACCAAAGTCGTACTAAAACATAGTTTAGTTGTTACTTGAATTTTGCACTTCAAAGGCTTTTTAAGCTGTTCAGAATGTCACTGATATGAATATGACAATAAATGTTTAACCCAATGACTGGTCAAAGCATTTTATAAAGTCAGTCTTGTTATTATGTATAATATCGTAATATCGTGAGCTTTCCCACGATATCGCAGTAAATATCGTACTGCGAGGTTTATACCGTGGCGATATCTTATCGTGAGACTTGGATATCGTTACACCCCTATTTCAAATCATTTCATTTCATCAACATAAAACTTTTGTCACTTATAAACACAACAGGAAGAGAGAAAACTACTTCAATAAAAGATTACGTAAGTCGGAGTAAAAGTATGCTGTTAGAAGTACTTGATAATGACACTGAAATTCTACAGTTGGATTGGTTCTATTATGCATGACCATTGCAAACCCACATTATAAATATACATGTCTCAATGTGGTGCCATCTGCTCTTTTTAAATGAACGCACTCTTTGAATATGCAACTTTTTCACAACTTCATTTCTCTTAAATTAACTCTGAAGTAATGACAGATAAAGCCTATTTGAAAATCAATTACTTCCCATCCATTGTTAATAATTAATTTGGAATTCTTTTGCTATTCAAATGCGCGCAGAGACGTCAATCTCCAGCTCCATTCAGAATGTTAAAATAAAACCTCTTTAACACAAAAAGATACAAATTGCAAAGAGGAAATGATCTCGTTGGATTGTAGAAAATTGCATGCTGGGATGTCTTGATTTCGTTATCCCAAACCCAGCACGACTCATGACTAAATTCATAGCTCGTAACAATTTATTTTGTTTCGCACAGGCTGGTTGTCACGGCGACGGACCGGGGCACGCCGCGTCTCGCCGGCTCCGCCACCCTGACCGTGATCATCGTGGACCTGAATGACAACAGGCCCATGATCCCCGTGCCGAGGGAGCTCCGAGTGCCCGAGGGTGAGACGAACCAAAGACTTTTGATTCATATTAAAGCTGCACTGTGTAACTTTTCTGGTGGAGAGTCCGTCACCTGTCTGGAATGTTCCACAGCACGACATTAAGCAGCTCTACGTTACATTTATTCAAGTATAAGTGGTTTTATAGCTCAAAAATACCTTGAAAAACAGACATTCAGACTGTGAGCGGACTCGCCTCTCCACAGATCTGACCTGTAACTTGGTTTGGTTTGGTCTCCCTGAAAATAGAAAGGTTTAATGCCATACTGTGAAACATTTCAGACAAAGCAATAACATCTTCATGGAGAAAAGCATTTGACGGACCCTCTACCAGAAAAGTTACATAATGCACCTTTAAAGAAGACCTATTCTGCTTGTGTTTGCTCTGTAGTTATAATCTGTGACACCCATGTGGTGGGCTGTAACTGTACACAAAAATCAGTTTGGTACATACCTCGGTTTTAAGGTCACAGTTCGGTTCATTTTTGGTTCAGTTTGGAAACAAATGCAAAACCATTTGTGTTTTTATTAAACCAACAATTTGTTTTAACATTATACAAACAGGAAAATAAAATAAATGCAAAGTGCTTCTTGGTACTAATAAGTTAAATAAAATATTCTCAAATAAGTAACAAATTTATCAAATATTATAAAGAATAAATTCCGTGTAAACAGTAAACAAAACTTTTCAAAAAGTAAAGTGCAGCACTAACAGTTCCAGCATGAAGTTTTACTCAGTCTTCATATTTTTGGCCAGAAAAACCAACTTGTCCACATTGTCTGCAGTAATTGCAGACAATGTGGTGGCATTGTTGCTGCTGGCAGTTACAATGTCCCCAGTGGTTGAAAATACCTTTTCACTAGGGACAGAGGTCGCAGGTCGGTGAAAGGTAAGAATGAGGACCAGGGCGCGACGACCGTAGTTTTGCGAGGATTCACGTGGTTCAGATGTAGTCAAGGTGGGGGGCAATCTTCTCTCCAATTTATGTCTCTCTTTTTTAATTTTAATATTATTTATGTTTTGATTTGTTTTTATTATGATTTTAATGTATTTCTTATTCTGTAAAGCACTTTGAATTACTTTGTGTACAAATTGTGCTATACAAATAAACTCGCCTTGCCTTGCCAATTGTTGTCAAGGTGGGGCGGCAGTAGCTCAGTTGGAAGAGCATTCGCCCACTGATCTGAAGGTTGGCGGTTCGATTCCAGCTATCAACATAAACATCAGAGGTTGGCTGGTGTGGTTCCTTGTTGTAAAGCTTTAAGTGCCGTGAAGGTGGAAAAGCGCTATAGAAACCATTTTACCATTGACCAAGGTGGCCGCCCTAACTATAAAGTGCTGTCACCCCAATCACGGACAAATTCCCTTGTGAATATTAAAGAGCTGAGCCTTCGTGTAGCTGCACATTATAGTGGCGGAATGTAAACAAACACAAAATTTGCAAACTCGGTCCTGCACCGAACCGATCATCCTGTACCGAAACTGTTCAACACAAATACATGTACCGCTACACCTCTACCCATGGTTCATTAAGTTATAATTTGGACATTTTAAATCACGATATTCATCTAAAACGACGTAATAAAAGAAACATGTCCGCTGACTTCCATGTTAGAAAACTGTGGCGCATAATGGGAGCTGACATAGTGGATTTTTTTCATTTGTACCAAAATGAGTACACGATGCTGCCAAATCCTACATGTATCACAAATTAAGAAAATAAAATTGGACAATGAAGTACGACGAAGATCGGCAAAATGCTGTCTTCAAAATAAATGATTAAAGATTTCTGAAACACGCACGAATCTCTCCAAATACAACTTCAAGAGCATAATTGAGAAGGAAAACAACTATGATATGATTTAGGTTGATTTTGTTGAATAGATCTGCTTTAAATTACATGTAAACTCCAAAATATGACGTGAGTAGTCATCAGAGGAACTATGATCTGAAAGAAATTAGACGTTTTTGCTGTTCACGTGTCATTTAAACGATGGTCTGGCTCCAAACGAGTGCTACGAATCAGATTTTGTTTGCACATACCGCCAGCCACTGTCTCTAAGTCCTCATTCCTCTCCTGTTTATTTCCCCAAACAAAGGGACAAAACTTTGCAGCTCATCTGAATGTCACCTCTGCTGAGACTCACCCCGGAAAAAACAAGTCGCACACAGCGGAGAGAAGAGTCATTAGTTAGAGTTTTGGTTACTGGTAAAAATAACGCAGGCAGCTAAAGGTCCTGTACCACGCAAAACTTGAGCTTTAAGACATGTTATATACTGTTACAAACTCAAAAAAACAGACCTGGAGACCTGAATAATCCTTTATTATTAGTCTGTCTACGTTTCCAAAGCTGTTCCACCTTGTGATGTCATGAAGTGGTAGTTTTCAAGTCCCTAAATATTGCGAAATTCATTTCATTCATTTATTTATTTATTTATTTATTTATTTCGGTCACAGGTATATTTTGACATTAATTCATAAACAGTCATATTTAACATATACAGACCGAAAAGGTGCAGGCTGAAGCTTAAGCTTATTATGCCCTTTACCCTTTATTCCTTTGTCAGAGCTTCATCTTGACACCAGTTCATCTTCATAAATACAGCAGGAAGAAACAAGCTAATCAGTAACAGAACAACAAAGTTCTACAGCACAAACTAAGTCTCATATTTCATGTATCTGTCCAGAGTTAAACATTTAAACTTCTTTATGAAGTGAAAGAAAGTGGTGCACAATTTTAGGTTTTCTGTACAGTTGTTCCAGAGCTCCACCCCTTTAACAGATTTACAAAATTTCATAATGTTTGTTCTGATTTTCTTTTTAATAAACATGGTCGTGCCTCTGAGCTCATATCGGCTCTTTCGGATTTTGAACATGTTCTGTAACGATTTCGACAGGAGATTGTTGTTTACTTTGAACATGATTTTAAGAGTGTAAAGGTCGACTAAATCATAAAATTTCAGCGTTTGAAGGTTTATAAATAATGCATTGGTTGGTTCGTTATAAGTTGATAATGTGATGCTCTTATTGCCTTTTTTTGTAGGGTAAAGATTGGCTTTGTATTCGTCTTATATGTATTGCCCCAAATCTCAATACCGTAGGTTATGTAGGGCATTACCAGCGAGTTATATATAATAAAAAGACTGTTTTTATCTAGGGTATATCTGTATTTATATATAATTGCGATCATTGATCAATTGACACTTGTGAACTTGAAACCGTGTTATAACGTTGTGACCTCCTCAAAAACATACAGTACCTGGAGTTTTTTTTGTTTTATTCACACTTTATTATTGGTTTGTCTACATCTCCACAACGCAAAATGCTCTGTTCCACCTTGTGATGTCATGCAGCAGTGAAGTTAACAGCTCCTTTTACCTTTTCTGCCCTACAAAGTCAGAACGCCGTACCATCATGTTTGGTCAAAAATGTGTTAATGTCATTTTGAGGGTGTTTGAAACCTCTTTTATCATCATACGAATAAATATCGTGAGCCAATTTGATTGTTTTAACGAGAAAATATGACAACTGTAACATCCAAAACCACACGAGAAACCGCGGCTTTGAAACTTTTAAGTCATTTTCACACTTTGGCGAGTTCTTTTGCCTTTGTAGCACAGTTTTGTTTCGTCGAGATTGACATTTCCAGGTCTGAATCATCCAAATGATTCAGGCGAAGGTGTAAAAACAAAATAGAGCACTTCCACTCTGAAGAACAAGAGTGTTTTCTGACTGGAAGAAGATCTCGGTCTAAATGTGCAGGGTTTGTGTGTTAGTTTGGAAGAGCTGTGAAACGTGTTCA